AAGAGACATTTGATTATAAATGATGCTGGATTAATCCAACCTATATGTCTTGAAAATGCCTTGTCTTCAAAATTTAAGTCAAAAGATGTTACTTTGGAGAAGAGGTTATGTTTTTGTTTCTTCAGGAAATGAGAGGCTGTGGATTCATTCTAGGTTAAGAAAAATCAGATTTGATGGAGGAAGACCCACTGAAAAACCTCCGATGGGAACAGATGACCCAGATGATCCAACACTTCAGAGTGCCTCTGTTGAAATTTCCTCTGAGTCTGCATCCAGAACAGCTTCAAAGCTGCTGGCTGAGATGATCCAGCCTCACAGACTACTGCAGCCAAGACTTAACCATTATCCTAAATGTTCTCAGGGTCCCCCAAAGATTACCAGTGCTCCTAATCAGCAGGAAGCAGCCTAAAGAACTAAATCCACATTCCAAAAATAGATGATGGATAATTATCATTTCTTAGGGGAGTGGTTCCAAGTTGTTATGGAAATGGTCAGGAAAAATCTAAACAAAGATTAGATTCAGGGATCTTGTTCTGAAAAGAAAAAGGAGGATATAGAAATGATAGCATAACAGGGTAGAACTTCAATCCAAAAAAAAAAAAAAAACAACTATGAATCTTACATATTTTACATTGGTATGGATTTTAGTTTATTGATATAAATTTAAAGTTAATTTTGTTATACTGTATGTATATTTCTACTTTTGTTTAGGGTATTATGTTTATGCAGCTCATTTAAAATGTAATATATAATTAAGAAATACAGATTAATAGTCACTTATAATAGCAAACTTATAGTCATGTTAGGTATGTTTTCAAGATCATAAAGAGATATATTTCAGATAGATAGGCAATTTTCAGACACTTCAAAGACCTACAGAATATGGCATTTAAAATGTTTTCAGAACATAGACTTTTCTTGACAATGAAATACATCTGCTCCTGGCAGCACCAATTACTTCAAAGAGGATGATGGGCATCAAAGAAACTCCATATGGGCTTTGTTTTCTTTATGGCGACAGCTAGCCATGTGGGTGAAGAAACTGCCCTTGTCTTGACAGTTAACAGTATGCTGTCCAAACTGGACCAGCCGGACACAAAAGAAAGTGACTGCAGAATTTTGCCAAGACAAGGTGGGACAGTCTTTCAAAAATCCTGCTTCACAGATAAAGTCTGTTAGATATGCTAGGCCTGTGGACCAAAGATGGATGCCCCAACAGTGTAGAGGAACTTTGGGTGACTGTCCAGGCAGCCTTATGTCCCTGTCATTAGGTAACATTACATCCTTCTGGAGTCTTTGATGGAGCTGAAGACTAGATAGTTATAATTTTCCTTAGTTATAATAGAAAGTAAATTAAATACAAAACTTTAGACTCACCAAGACAAGATAGACAATTAAATATTTTCTCTAATTTTGTCAAATGGAAATGGATTGGATATTGTTACTATAATTCTTACTTAATAACTGTTTTTGTTTTACTATATTAAGATTAAAATCTTACTTTTTAATTAGACCAAAAAGATAAATGCTGTGGAATAACTCACTTGTACACTGTAAAGATTCATCACTCAAATTAGTTTAATAAAATGCTGATTGGCCAGTAGCCAGGCAGGAAGTGGTAGGTGGGACAACCAAATTAAGAGTGCTGGGAAGAGGAAGGGTGGAGTCAGGAGTCACCAGTCAGATGCAGAAGAAGCAAGATGAGAATGTCATATTGAGAAAAGGTACCAGTCCACGTGGCTAAACATATATAGGGATTATGGGTTAATTTAAGCATAAGAGCTAGTTAGCAATAAGTTTGAGCTACTGGCCAAAGATTTCTAAGTAATATTAAGCCTCCAAGTCAATTATTTGGCAATAGGCAGGTAGGAAAGAAACATTCCACCTACACACTGGATCCTTAATATTTGGGCTCTATTGGATATAAAAACCAAGTGTACCTTAATTCATGAGAAGCCCCAGAAGCATCAAGGACATGATGGCGTGGATGGATGTGGAGATGGAATGTTTGCAGGTAAAGGATATCAGCGTCATCCTAGGGTGGCCAGTTGCCTGCCAGAGTACACTGTTTAGACTTCCCCACTATGGAAGAAGTAGACTGCAGGTACCCCAGGTACGTAGCCTGCAATCCAGCTGGAGATGTTCTTCCTGTAAAGAAAGTGTGCTTGAGTGGAAGTGGACACGGTAGAGGTGCCCACTCATCGTGAGATGGTAAATATCCAACACAGCATAGAGTGAAATCACAGAAACTATTAAGAAATTGGAAAAGATATATCATTTGCCAACCCAACATCCTTGCAGCAGGCTGGTGTGGCCGGTGAAGAAGTCAGAGGTTCGTGGAGAATGACCATGGATTACAGAGTGCGGGTTAAAGTAGCAGCCCCACCGTGCCACTGAGCCCAGAGTTGCTCTTTTGAAGGAACAATTCATGCAAGTGATGGGCCTTTGCTCATGCTCTCTCTAATATTCCCTTAGCTGTTGAATCCCAAGGCCGATTCCCGTTCTCCTAGAATGGACAGCTGTTCACCTTCAGACTATTCCTTCACGACCTTCACAGCCCCATTGCTTGTTGGTCATGGGATGGTGGCCTGGGGCCTGGCTCTGTTAGCATTCCCAGCTTCTGTGTGGAGGTTTCACTACACAGAGGATGTAGTGAAGGCCTCCGGGTGTTTTCATAGAAAACACCTAGAAGACTCACAAGTCCACACAAGATACCAGAGACAAGCACGTCGGCAAAATTCTTGGGAGGATTATAGTCTGGTATGACACCCAACAAGGCAGCGTGTGTGTGTGTGTGTGTGTGTGTGTGTGTGTGTGTGTGTGTGTGTGCAATGGAAACCAGCTGTAGATGTTTGGAGGGCTCCGAGGATTCTAGCGTATTTTCATACCCCACCTTGCTCAAGTTGACTATCTGGTGTCACTTGACTTTAAAAAGCATTCCATGTGGGATAAGGACTGACACACTCACGGGACTGTTGAGCAAGGCCAAATCCATGAAGGACAGGAACCACAGCTGTGTGACGAAGCCTCCATGCTCTTTAGCGCTGGAGGTACTAGAAGCTCAGAGGGATGCAGCTGGAGGCTGTGGCAAGCAGTACCCAGGCAGCCTGAGCAGACAGTCCCAGTGGGGTTTCCATCCCAGCCACAGAGGGGAGCAGATGCGCATATAGGGCACAAAATGAAGTTACTAGCTGTTTCTAAGGCACTAGAGTCGGTAGATCTACTGCAAAACAGCTTATCCAGCTGGGGTTGGATTGAAGTTCTCTTGACCAAGTCTCTTCCTAGGTGGCACAGAACCAAACTGCTTACAGTGGCATGCATATTTTCAGCAACAAGATAATGCTTGTTATATTATAGGCAGCCTATATTGTTTGGCACATTGTCAGGCTTTATATAATTATATATTATATAATTTCTAGTTATTTATAACTTGCATACCCCACCTTGCTCAAGTTGACCATCGTATGTCACTAGATTTTAAAGAGCACTCTCTGTGGGATAAGGACTCAAACAGAGACTCTCTGTATAGTTCTGCTTGGCCTGAGACTCACTCTGTAGACCAGGCTGGCTTCAAACTCACAGAGATCCGCCTGGCTCTGCCTCCCAAGTGCTGGGATTAAAATCTATACTACTATGCTCAGTTTACATTATGCTTCCTTGAAACTGCTTTTCCTATTTGTTCAACATCATTTGAGGTTCACCCATGTTGGTAAATATAGATTCAGCAATTCACTTTAACTGCCGAAAACGTAGACAGTTCTTTCCTGCATGCGTAGACATGTACAATACTTTTCCATTACATTCGAGCTCATCGCTGATGGGCGGGTGAGGCTTTCGCCTGCCGCTTTGTTAGCCTCTCTTAGTTCTGCGGGCCCTTCGTCCTTCCTCTCTTACTTTTGTGGTTACGTGGCTTCCTCTAGTGGCAGGCTTTGCTTCCTTCTTTTGTTTTCCATCGGGTTTTATTTTGTTGTTACCATTTTTTCCTCCAAGAAAAGTTTTCTTTGTGTAACCACCCTGGCTCTACTGGAACTCACTCTGTGGACCAGGTTGGCCTCGAACTCACAAGCTCTGCCTGCCTCTGCCTCCCACACCACACTAAAGGCCCGCACCACCACACCGTCTGTTGTTACCATTACTTATTGTTACCATTACTTGTTGTTACCATTATATTTAATAGTGTTCCTAAAGGCAAACGGATGTGCACATCACTACCTCGGTGTTAGAAATTCTGAGTTTGACTGTGAGTTTTCTGCTTGCAGGTGATTTCTTTTTACTCATCAGCATCCTTTTCGCCCAGCTTGAAGAGCTCACCTCCTTTCCTTCCGGGCAACATTTGGTGTTTTCTCCGCTGGCCACTGGCCAGGGCTCCCCTCAGGCCATTGCTGTTGGAGCGTCTTTGATGGAGTGGCTTGTAGCATGACAGCTTGCGTTACCAAAGCCAGCCAGGGGCTGGACTTTCTAAGCAGACAAAAGCTGGACTCTGGGGGGCAGTGGTGATGCACACCTTTAATCCCAGCACTCAGGAGGCAGAAGCAAATAGAATTCTGTGTTCGAGGCCAGCCTGGGCTGCAGACAAGACAGTCAGGGCTACACAGAGAAAAAAAAAAAGCCAGACTCTGAGGTAATGTACTCATGGAAGTCAGTCTTCGGCAGTCTGTTGACTAGGAGGGAGCTCAGACCCCACGCATGCTCAAGGGAGGCTGATTGCACCAGGAAATGGGGGTCGCTGGCCATCTCTCATTCCATCTCCCACAGGCAGGACCAGTTGAACATGGTGGTTGGCCTACCATCAAAGACCCACCTCACACTAGCCTTAGTAAGGCGAGAGGTTTGTTTCTCAGTCCAAAGTCTGCAGGCAGGAGATCTAGGTGGGCTGGCCTGGCAGATCCATGGTCTGGAGTCCTGTGCACCCCCTCGACTACTGGCCTTGCCTTCTCCTTAACGAAGAACTGCCCTGACACTTGCCATCATGCTGACCCTCCAACCTTTCCCCCAAACAGTGCCGGGACAATACGGTCAGACGGGAACCTGATCATATCGCCTCCGCCCTCTGTGGAACAGTACTCAAAGCTCTTAACCCACAGCCTCAGTTCAGACATAGACATGGAGAGACGCCTGCAGACAGTCTAGTCATCTGCCAAAACGGAACCATGAGGTCGACAAAACAACACTCACCCTCCCTGGGCATCACGTGCTCCCACGGACACAGAAGAACGCCATGTCCAGGAGACGGGACAGCATGTGTTTGTGACGTGCCTTGCTAGATCCTCCTTGCATCTATACCCAGCCTCCTTCTGTTCTCAGAGATCTGTGCTCACACCCATCTTCCCCTCATGGAACTTTTCAGCTGACCAGCTCCCCTTTGCCTTGAAATACTCTGCTGTGACACTGCCATTGCATGATCCCTGGTCTTCTTTCTTGTGTCCCATAGCACCCCAGGCCTCCCCCATCCTTCCCATAACATTTAACGGATTTTCATGGTTTTATTTCTTGTATATTTTATGGGCAAGTGTTTTGCTTGTGTGTGTGTAAGAGCATCACATGCATGCAGCACCCACGGAGACCAGAGATGACTCCAGATCCTCCAGGACTGGAGTTCCAGAGGGTTGTGAACTGCCACGTGAGGGGTGGGAATCGAACCCAGGTCCTCTAGAAGAGCAGTCCATGCTCCTAACCGCTGAACCATCTCCCCAGCCTCAACTTATGCTGATTTAATTACCGGCTCACTTCTCTGTTTTCCTGGTCAAATAATATGGGCCTGACAATGGAGACTATGTCTTAACAATTTCACACTCTCAACCCCATCACGGGGTCAGCCAGATACTCAGAAACTCAAAATATAATATGGACAGACAAACATACAAATACCAGGTAAAATTCTCAACGTTTAAAGAAAATCTATTGCCTCTACAGTATTGTGCTGGGTAGTGCTTGATAGTACTACATAGGAATTATGTAGACATGGCCCACATTTACAAGCTGTCTTGAATTAGTCACTTTTATGTTGCTGGGATAAAACACCACAACCAAGGACAACTTGAGGAAGAAATGGTTTATCTTAGCTTATGGTTCCTGAGCATGAGTCCGTCTGGCAGGGGAGGCAGAGGAAGGGAGGCAGGGCAGCTAGAGCAGAGAGCTGGGAGGTCACCTCTTCATCCACAGGCAGAGAGCAGAGAGAGCCAACTGGAAGTGGGGTGAGGATACGGGCTCCCAAGCCCACCCTCAGTGGCATCCATCCTTCCTCCAGCCAGGCTGGACCACCTCCCGAAACAGCACCACCAACCGAGACAGTGTGTTCAAACACCCCAGCCTCGGAGGGGCGCTTCTCATTTTAAAACACTGCGCATCTTACACCTACCGCTAAGTCCGGTGGAATGTCTCACTGACGGTGGTTTAAAGAACTCATTTCACTCAACCTGTCTCTGAATTATTTCCCTGTTTTCAGCTCTTAAAAACCTCAGAGGTTGCTATGCTAATCCAGGTCTACACTCAGACAGAAGGCCTGGTGTGGGGCAAGCGAGGAGCTTTCAAAAGAGATTTTTTTTTTTATTCAATACCTTCACCCATGCTGCTCATCCTGGCCCTCCAAAATAGCCCCAGGCAGCCAAACTGAGGTCAGAGGGCACATTGTGGACTTTGAAGGACATTAAGAACATGCCCAGGGACTACTATGAGCCAGAAAATGCCCAAATGCAGCCGAGAAAAGACAGTGAAACCAAAATAGACTCGGTGCCTTCCCCTCAGACACGGCGTTGACCCTAGGAAGCCGGGTGAGCTGAGGTCAACCCTGTCTGGCAAATCAGTGAAGAGGTCAACCCAAAACCAGAGGCAGAGCATAGTGCGTGGTAACGCCTCTCACGGGGGTCATCTGCCAGCCGAGTGCAGGACCCAAGTGTAATGACGTCTGCTTCCACTGGGCTGTGCTCCTTAATGTGTCTCCTCTCATGTTAGTCTCGTGGTTCTTGGGGTACTGGCCCCATTTTGTAGCTGGGGCAAATGAACCCCACTCTCATGGATTGTTAGGGACTATTGGGGTCCAGCCCCTAATAGTCTCCTTTCCAGGGTCCACGGAAGGATCTATCAACCAGCAGAGAATCTATTCTTTAGGGTCGGTAAATCAGTCTACGCACGCAGAGTTCTTTGGTCCATTCGCTTTAATTCCTCTGACATAACATCCTTTATACACAGCTTCAGTTCTGTTCTCATGTCTAGCTCCTTTCTTGCCTGATTTCTCTATACTTATCTACTGTCCCCTCTAAGTTCTATCTTAATTCCTTCATCTAGTTCTGTCCCTTCTAGGTTCTCATCTATCTAGTTCTTTCCCCTATCAGCTCCTCTCCCGTTTCCTTCTCTCTCATCTGGCTCTTCCTCATCTTATTCTTCCCCATCTGGCTCTTCCTCATCTTCCATCTCATTCCTCTAGTCCTCTCTTTTAGCTCTTCAATCTAGTTCTTCCCCATCTCAGCTCGTTCCTCTCAAGTCCTTACCCATCTAGTTCTTCCATTCTCTTTTCTCTTCT